TTCTTCTTTTAATGTCAAAACATGAGCCCTACTGTTTTCCCTGTGCTGCCATCTGGCTTCTTTAATTCATACCCTAAGAAACCAGAAGTCTCCAAAGCTCGAAGCCTCAGCAGGTGGCCTCTTCGCCTGGCTTACACCACACTGCTGATCCCTACTCCTGGCACAGGTGTCCCACGTCCAAGGAGAAACTCGATGACTGAGGAGAAGCCAAGGAGGAATCTAGGCTGGCCTCTCCGCACAGGCCTGGGTGTGGACAGGTGAAGCGGGCTCCCGGGACTTCAAGAGCTTGCCCCTCAGGACTGCCTGGCTCTCATGCAGAATGTGCCTACATGACAGCAGAGCAAATGCCGACAGCAGACCAAACGCAGGTCTGGCCCAGATTTGTCTGTCTAAATCCTCTCTCCCAAGGGGATGTCATGTGGAGGTGGCACCTCTGGGAGGTAATTGGGTCACTAGTGGAGTCTTACTAAAAGAGAAAGCAGAAAGCCTCGTCTCTGCTCCAGCTCCAGAGGATACAGAAGGCGGTCGTGTATGACCAGGAAGCAGGCCTTCCCCAGGCACTACTGCCAGTGCTTCATTTTGAACTTCCAACTGTGAGATGTGAGTTTCTGTTGTTCATGAACCACCCAGCATCTGGTACAGTAGCTTGAACTGTAAGAAGTAGGCCCTGTCCTTGGTCACTCACCTGGGCCCTGGCGTCGTCTTGGAGGCTCCACCATCCAGGGTGCTTTCCCTTTCTCCAGTAAGGCAATGACATTTGGCCTTCGAGAGGAAAGACCTGCACATAGGACAAGCATGGAACTGAGCTCACTGTCAGCACCACAGTCGGAGCCAAGCCCTGTGTCAATGGGGTGAGGGTGTACCAGCCCAGCGGGGCACACAGGACACAGAGGGCAGCTGGAGAATGGGCACTGTGATACTGTGACTTGTAAGACACATAAACCCTCAACCCTAGAAAATAACTGGTGGCCAGGTACTCCTGGGAGCCTCCACGTGGGTCAGAGGATCCCAGTATGTGATCAGAGGGATGGGACTTTCATCTCACCCCAGAACTCTGGAGAAGGACAGGGGCTGGACAGAGATCACTGATGGCCAGTGATCTCATCAATCAGGACCACATATGAAGCCTCGACAAGGCCCAAAAAGACAGGTTGGGAGAGCTTCCTGTTGCTTACCTGTGGAGGTGGACCACCAGAGAGGGAGCAGAAGCTCCACACCCCTTCCCCTCACCTTGCCCTCACCTTGCCCCCTGTATCTCTTCACCTGTTCTTCATCTGCATCCAGACATATCTTGATATTTAACTGGTAAAGCCTCAGTAATGTACTTTCTTGAGTTCTGGGGTAAAACCTGAGGAGGGGACTCACGGGAACCCCAAATTTACAGTTGGGTTGGTCAGAAATCCCAGAGGCCTGAGTTGCCAGATGAGGCAGTCTTAGGAGATGAGGCCCCCAGGCTGTGGGTTTGATGCATCTCCAGGTAGTGCCAGAGCTGGACTGTCAGCCAGGCATGAGAATCGCCTGGCGTGTGGTGAAAACTCCAAACACGTGGGGCATCAAACTGTTCTGTGCTGAGTGGTGAGTGACAGCTGGAGAAATTGTTTGGTTTTTAAAGTCTTATACCAGGAGGATGCACACTCAGCTATAGCCAATAGAGTGCTCCATTCTAACTCCACAAAACCAATTATTTTCCTGAACAAGGAGGTCAGATGCTCAAAGATGGGTTAGTAGGCTACTGTCTCTCAGCTCTACCCTTCTATGCTCGGCTTTGTCACACGAGGGTCGGACTTTAGCAGCTGCTTCCACTCAGTGTCCACCAAAGGGACTCTGCTGACTTCCATCTCTGGTTTTCTTTTTGTCCCTGCACTCCCAGAACTAGCCGCCTCTGGCTCCCTCAGAAGTGAAAACCAAACAGGCAGTGCCACTCCCCTTCTCCTCAGAACATGAACCCCTGTGCTGGCATATGAACGTCCACAGCAGGGTGGAAATGACCCAAACACCCAGGAGCTCATGAGTGAGCGAACCAACGAGATGTGGTCTATCCACACAAGGAAACACTATGTGGCAATGGACAGGAATGGGGTTCCGATACATGCTATAATATAGACGCACCTCAAAAACTATGCTAAGTAAAGAGACTACATACTTTAGATTCCATTTGTATGCAAACCCCAGAACAGGCAAGTTCATAGAGATAGGAGGAAGAGTAGCAGTCATCTAATCTGGTAAATCAGGTGAGCAGGGAAAAAGAGTGATTCTAATGGGTACTGGTTTTCTTCGAGGGCAATGAAAACATTCTAAAATTCACTGTGTGGCCAGGCAGGTGGCACATGCCTGTAATCCCAGTAATTCAGGAAGCTGAGGAAGGAGGATGGGAAGCCTCAGCAACTTAGTGAGGCACTAAGCAAATTAGCAAGACCCTGTCTCCAAAAAAAAAAAAAAAAGGTGGGGCTCAGTGGCAAAGCACTTGCCTTCCATGTATGAGGCACTGGGTTCGATTGTTAGCACCACATAAAAATGAAACGAATAAAATAAAGGAATTCTACCCATCTACTACTACAAAAAAATTTTAAAACAAAACAAAAAAATGCCAGGTGCAGGGTGCACTCCTGTAATCCCAGTGGATTGGGAGGCTAAGGCAGGAGGATTACAAGTTCAAAGCCAGCCTCAGCAATAATGGTGAAGCACTAAGCAACTCAGTGAGACCCTATCTCTAAGTAAAATACAAAACAGGGCTGGGGATGTGGCTCAGTGGTCAGGTGTCCCTGACTTCAATCCCCAGTAGCAAAAAAAAAAGTCTGGGGATGTAGTTCAGTAATTAAGTGCCCCTGGGCTCAATCCCCAGTACCAATGAATGAATAAATAGCTAGATAGATAGATAGATACATAAAGAAATGAGAGAAAGAACGAAAAATTGGTTGTGATGGCTGTACAACTGTTAATACAACAAAAACACTGAATTATGTACTTCATATAGACAGACTATATTTTAAGTGAATGATATAATAGAACTATTAAAAAATAAAAAGAAAAGCAAAAAACAACACAAACAAATAAGTACCACAACTGGATTAGCATCCATTTTCCTAACTAGACCCTAATTGACAAATGTCCCTTAATAGGCTTGTTCTGGATTATGGAGAGAAGGGCCTTACCCAGTGAGACCAGGTTCGTGTAGTTTTCCAACATGACATCTTCATACAAATCCTTCTGAATGGGGCTTAGCCATTCCCACTCCTCCTGGGAGAAGTAGATAGCCAAGTCCCCAAAAGTCACTGGTGCCTGAAATGAAAAATCGACTGTCCATTCACCATGACCTTGTGCTTCCACAAAGCTGGAGAAAATGGTACCCTCATCCCAACACAGATAACACATGGTACCAGGAATCATGCAGGGAGCACTGGGGGTTCTGAGGCTAAAGGGTGCAAGTGTTTTACATAAATTAAATAAAATGCAGTGCAATATGATATAACTGCTATTAAAAGAGTATGCCAGGTGTGGTACACCTACAATCCCAGAAGATAAGGCAAGAGGATCACATGTCCAAGGCCAGCCTGGCAAATTCAACAAGACCCTGTCTTAAAAAATGAAGCCGGGCACGGTGGCACCTGTAATCCCAGTGGCTCAGGAGGATGAGGCAAGAGGATCTAGAGTTCAAAGCCAGCCTCAGCAACAGTAAGGTGCTAGTGAGACCCTGTCTCTAAATAAAATACACAACAGGGACAGAGATGTGGCTCAGTGGTTAAGTGCCCCTGAGTTCAATTCCCAGTACCCAACAATTTAAAAATTAAAATCAAATAAAAAGGACCGGAGGTGTAGTTCAGTGGCAGAGTGCCCCTGGATTCAATCTCCAGTATGAAAAACCCAAATAAACCAAAAAATATTATGTTGAATAAAAAGCAGACCAACTCAGACATGCTGGGAATTCACGAAGAAAGGCATCTTTAGCACCTGCCTACACTGGCTCATAGTGCTCCTGTGAACCACAGTCTTGGACCTGCCCCCGGGGCCACAGTTAACTATGCAGGTGAAGGATCTGAGGCCACACAGGCAAGGCAGCTGACTTCACAGGAGGACCTGGCAGTTTGGCTCCCCATTCAAGCTCCTAAGCATAGACTCTGTTAAAGAACATGTGAATAAGTTATGTATGACAAAAAGTTCCTTGCAGGTACACTAACCACTTAACACAGGGAGTCTGGCTTGGCTGTTGGTTGTTGCTGGCTTAGGGATGGAAAACGGGGGCCAAGAGAACATCATGAATATCAAAATACAAAGCTGACACCTTAACCTCAGCTCTAGAAGACCCAAGCAGAGAACCCCACTAAGCCATGTTGTGCCTGGACCCTGACCCATGAGACTGCACAATAAGAAACATGTGCTGAGAGGCCAAGTTTGAATTTGTCATGAAAGCAGAAAAGAATGAATGTCCCCAACACAGAGAGAAACGTGCTTGTTTTGGAAAACTGTTCCACACTCGTCCTGAAGACTGTTCCAATGTCCAGTGGTGAGGAGTGCCGACCACAGAAGGCTAGTGCACCGTGTGGCCCGGCCTGCAAAGCACCCACAGGTTCTTCTCAGACTTGGAGCTTTGCTGGAGGACTCTACTCTGTGCTAATGTGGGTTTTACAAGGAGAAACAAAGCCACCAATGGGACAAATATGAAGCCATGTTGAATCTTCTCTGCCTCCGAAGGTCTTACGTGGGCACTTGTCCCCACCCAGAGAAACCACAGGGTTCTTGTCTTCCCCTCAGGAGAAGGCAATCTGCCAGCACTGCAGAGCCCCTGGGGATGCTGAACGGTCAGTCATGAGCATACTGAGGAATGGGCACAGGGCCCTGGGCGGCTTCCTGGGCCTCTCACCTCTCATTCTCCAATATCACTGGGAGAACACCAGGAACGGACGAGGAGACTCCTATAGGCAGGAAGTCTCTGGAAGGAAGGTAAATGGCTACACCTTATGAAACAGAATGGACTATTCCTGAAAAGAGGAACTGCCACTTACCTTGGATTTGGATTTCCGCTGTGCAGCAGGCATCCTTTCCCTTCCCTTCAGGCTCCACGTTCAGAGAGAGGCGGAGTTCTGGGAAGGCAGTGCTGGGGAGAAGAGAGGTCATGGGGTCAAGTGGACCTTTTGAGTGGTCCCAGAATCCCCTGGACCCTCACCTGGACATGACGTGCAAATACAAGTGTTTGCATGGATGCCATGGTATCTGTAGCAAGCCTGCCCTCTCCCAAAGTCAGGCCATGGCCAACAGTGCCCACTTTTAGGATCATGGCAGGCTCCTGATTGGGAGGCAAATGAGGAATGTGCTATTATCTCATTTTCCACTTGACACACATGTATTAAGCATCTAAAGGTGCCAGGCACTGTCCCTGGCACTGGGGAGAGCAACAAGCTAGGACAAACAGTACCTGCTCCCATGCCCCTGTACTTGCAACAGAGAAAAGCAATCCACATGGAGCACAATGACAGCCAAGGTCACTGCTATGAAGGGAAGAGGGCCAGTGTACAGGAATAGAGAATGATGTGGTGGTCAGGGAAGTCTTCTCCTAGAAGGTGACAGTGAGCTGAGGTCTGAATGCATAAAGAATGTGAGCTACCAAGTCAGAGAAGAGCTTCTGGGCAGAGGTACAGCAGGTGTAAAGGCCACACAGCAGGCCTGGCTTGGTGAATAAGGAAGTGAGGTCATATACTGAAGCAGAGTGAGGTAGGAGGGCAGGAAGGAAAGATCAAGAAGGTGGTGAGCAGTTTGGATTTGATCCTAAGTGCTAGATACCACTAGTGGAGAGAAGGGAGGGGCTGAGCAGGGAGCAACAAAATCTAACTTTACATTTAACAAAATATTGGGGGGTGGCCATAAATTTGTTTGGGATATGAGGGAAGCAAGAGATGAAGCAGAAGTTGGTTAGATAGTGATACAATGGGGGGGTGGACAACATTATGGGGGGGAACAACAGTGTAGACTAGGATAGGAGGAATGCAGGGGAGATGGTCAAACCACCTCCTTGAGTTGAGGATGTAGCTCAGCGGTAGAGCTTGCCTGGCATGCACAAGGCCCTAGGCTCAACTTCCAGCATCCCAGTGAGAAAAACACAAAATACCCCCTCCAGTCTAAAGGAGTCTCAGGCCTAAGTGAGCGACACTATGCCATCCAGTATAAATGCCACAAGCCACAAGTGATTAGCAATGGAAATAAGGTCAGTGCAACCGAGGCATTAACTGTATTTGAATTCCAATTAATTCATTACTGAAACAACTGAATAGTAAATTCAAAAATCTCTAGATAAAAATCTATTATGAAATTTAAAGCATTTTTAGAACAATTTGGTGTGTCGCTCTATTTTTCCAACAGTCAATTTTATGAAATAAACAGACTTATTAGTATGAAAAAAGAATATGAAATACTTCACATACTTTTTTCTATTGTTACAGGTTAAATGATAATGTTTGGGATACACTGACTTAAATAAAACGTGTCATTAAAATGAACTTTAACGGCATATTTGCTTCTTTTCACTTGTTTTCAACAAGGCTACTGGAATGTTTACATTGTATATGCTTCTATTACACCTATAAAGGACAGTACTCTTCCAAACCACAGAACCTGTGTTCCAACATCGTTCTTCCTTTTTCTTCAGATCACTTACTGATTTTGTACTTTTCAGGTGTTGGGAGCCTCACACAGGCTAGCCACCAGTCAGAGCATTTCCTGTTCATGCTTCCAAGGCCTGAGAAACACACCCAGTGAAACTGCCCAACCACCCTCTGGGTGCTGAACCAGAGGCAGAATTCAATCATTTTATGCTGAAACCATATCACAGAGAAACAGTTCTGCTAGCCACAGCCCTCTAACTTGTCCCCTGAAGAAGATCAGAGGAGGAACAAACTCTTTACTCCTCTCTGTAGAACACAACAGTAGCAAAAAGTAACAGCAACAAATAAAGCTAAGATCAATTAGTAAACATTGAATACTTACATGTATAGTTTGAAGCCATGGGCAACTTTTTACAGCAGCCACAGGAAAGGAGTATTACAACCTTCCATTGTTTCCTTCCAACTCAGGAAACCCCCAAATGGACTTCTTTTTGCTTTGTCGGTGGCTTGATGCTGAAAAAAATGTGTAATTCAGAATTTCAGGTATGCAGGGGGAAGTATGCTTGCTGATGGCTGAGACTAGCCTGTTAGGCCACTCCCAAGGGCCAGAAAGAGCACCAAAACACTAGCTCCCGCCTCAGGTTACAAGTGTAGCCCAACTCAACTGTACAGTCGTGCAATTCTCTGGAAGACCTCCAATTCCACAGTTTTAAGTAAGATCTGGTAGAAACCTAGTCACACTGCCACATACTTGCAAAACCACTGACAGTCCTCAGCGGGGTCTCATGGACTTGATAAACAGCCACATCAGATTGCCAAGTGTACACACCAGAGCAACAGAAAAGCACGCAGGCCCATCACCCAGCACTGCTGCAGATTCCGGCCATCCTGGGCCCATCACCTCGGGTCAGAGAATCTTGCATCCACCAACCTTTGATGTGGCACCATCCTGTGACCCTAGACCCAACGCACCTCGCTGTCGCAGAATCGGGCGCAGTCCCAGGCCCATCACCCGAGGCAGTAGCTCTCAGTCACTTCCACACCAGCGTCCTGGTGGCGCCCACCGCCACAACTGCGCAATAACCCCCGCGCATGCGCGGTCGCCTCCGGGACCCCGGCCCGCACGGCCCCGCCCCCAGGGCTTCCCCGAGCGGGAAGGCCCGCCCCCACCCACGGCCCCGCCCCTCAGCGTGAGGCCACGCCAGCACGCTCACGTGAAGGGAGCCCAAGCCGCCAGCCAACCCGCTCCTCACCCGGCGGGAAGCCGCGTGCGCGCGCCTCCGGGCTGAGGCCCCGCCCTGATGTGCTCGCCACGCCATCTCTCTGCTCGCCGACCGGCCGGCGTTCTCAGGCCGCGCCCCTGGCTGGTGGGCTTCGAGGCGGCTTTACTCACGGACCTGTCGGCCTATAACTCTCAGCAGCCTCCGGGCGGCACGACTGTGGAGGGCCTCGCCCAGGACGCGGGGCTAAGGAGGCTCCAGCCGCGCGAATTCCCATCTGTCCAGTGTGGCAAGAGCGGACCGAGAGAGGGCCAAGGAGACAAGTCCGCGCCCTCGCAGACGGGGAGGCCCGGGCTGCTCTGCGCGGTCCCGGACTAGGCTTCCCAGAAGCCCCCGGGCACGCGCTCCTGTGAACTGCGCCTGCGCAGCGGGGAGGGGCAGGCGTGGTGGCGGTGAGGTAACGAATGGCTGCGCGCGCATGCGGGGTCCCGTTTTTGATGGACGCGGGTTCCTCAGCATCCATTAGGCTTTTGCGCAGACACAGATCTCTGCGATAGCTTCCACGCCGCACAGAGATGGAGTCACGTGTGGCCTTTTGGGCTCGGGTGCTCACCGGTGGAGAGAGTGCGTGTGTTGCGGGGGCACTGGCCGCGCTTGTCGGCCCGCGTTTGCACCAGGACTCAGTTCTGCAGGTGCAACACAGGAAGCCTGAGATGCTTCATTGGCTGTCTTTTTAGATCTCAGTTTTCGTGATTTATGCGTGGAAAGTCACGTTTTGTGACCAGGTGTGTTGAGACGCAGTTTTTGTGGTGGTTCAGATGAGCGCACAGCCCAGGGCTTGCATTCTCAGGCACGTGGCCCTGTGAGTTTTGGAAACTAGGTATGGAGATGGAGGAACCAGACCTGATTATTACGTGAAATTATAAGAACATTATGATGAAGAACCAATGCCTGAGGCAAGGGTTGTCTTTTCCCCCTCACCTCTGTCAGCTTCTCTTTAGGGAACCTAAGTTAACCATGGGTCCCTACCTATTGGATTGTAAATGTCCCCGGACAGGTTTTCTCCTCCCGCCCACCCCAGGGAATTTTTCCTTATTTTTCTTTTTGTAAAGTCATTATTAAGGTACGGGTATAAGGGTATCACGTGAAGCAGGACATCAGACAACCCAAATAAACTAGAAATTAAACCAAATCCTGCAGGCAGGGTGGGAGGTGACACATTCTTTCCAGAGCTGTCCTCAAAAGCAAGAATGGAAGACAAAACAAACAGAAAACCCCCACTCAGCTGCAGAAGGAAGCTGGGGGCTTGCCTGATAGCTGTTAATGTCTTTATGAGAGGGCAGGCAACCATTTAAGTGCCTTTTCTGGAATAGACCAAGGATGATAAGTCCAGTTATTTTTAAGGCTTCAGTTAGCTCTGTGGCCAGCGGGTTGTGGAGGAACACACCATCCTGGGAGTACACCCAGGTTTTCTCAGTCCAGTCCTACTGCTTGGGTCCACTGGAAGGAGATGATAATCAGATTAGTTTGTTTGGGGTCTACCTGTTTGTCTCACAAGTTCCTAGATCTCCACCCGGTTTAACTGTTAGGACACCACTCCCAAACAGACATAGTCCCCCAGTGTACAGGGCTTGCCTGCAAGGTCTTCAGAAAACTCTGCCAAGGCGTCCAGCGTTTCCTCTGCTGGTCTTTTGTAGGCGGTTTCGTCTAGAGAGCCTAGGATGCCCAAAGATCCTGAGTTCCTCAGAGGCATGAGATAAGACACTCTGCTTTTTGACATTCAGGATCTGGTTGAGGTAGTGGAGGTTCAAACTGGCTTGGCTGGGCACATAGGCCACAGCGGTCAACACCTGCAGTCCAGGGCTGCCACAAAACCAGGCAAGAGCTCCATCCACTGGATGACTCCCAGGAGGCTGGTGGCCATGCAGCGCAGGATGTCCCTGGGACAGGTTTTCAAAGCCAGAGATTGAACAGGTGCCTGTCAAGTAGTCTTGTTTCTTACACTTTGTGACTTTTTGAGCTCTATAGGAATGTGACCAATTAACTGCCATCTAAACTATAACCTGGTAGACTTACTTCTTAGAAATAAAGCTCTTAAGGAGGTAGACTCAAGTTATCTTGAATTACTGCTGCCTATGGTGAAGGCCACTTTGGGCTAACACAGATGACAGATAACCGTCTTTTTTCTACACCACTTATCATAAATTCCCTCTGCATGGTCTTTGGTCAGGTAGGCCAAATTCAAACCCACCAATGTTGTAATGGTTAACAGAAATTGTCAAATTTCCTATAAAAGCCCCATGTAACCTCAACTTGAGGCCCAGAACTTAAGAGCACTAGTTCCTCTGTGTAACTAAACATGAGTTCTGTAGCCCTCTTAGTCTCTTGTGGTCTTGATTTCCATAGCAGTATTAAGAGTCAATGTATGGGGAGAGGGGCAGGGTTGTGGCTCAGCCTTCCCCGCTAGTGTGTGGGAGGCGCTGGGTTTGATCCTCAGCACCATATAAAAATAAAGGTATCCTGTCCAACTACAACATATATATATTATATTTATTTATATATAATATTTTATATATATTTATATATGGGGGGACTAGTTTTGGCTTCTCATTTGTGTAACCTGGTGGTGATAATAAAAAGATAATAATATAATAAAAAAAGTAAAAATAAAATATAATTTTAAAAAAGATAATAAAAAGAGCAGCTAATATATATGACCCTTGGGACTCTTAGTGTTGCTACTGAAACCAGAACTTTAAGATGCTGGATATTCACTTCTGTTGGCCGATGGAGTTTCGCTAGCTGCTGATCTCTGCAACTGAAATACCCCGTTAGTGTTAGCAGCTGGGATAATACCCTGTTAGTGTTAACAGCAGGAGGGATCTTCAGCTGGAGCTTTTTGAGGGTTGCTGATAGTAAAGCTGGATTTTCCTGTGAAAAACTGATGTGACTCCATTTTTTGAAGAATAAATGAATAACAGCAGCTTCTACCTTAAAGCCTGTCCTAAGGAAGGGGGCATGACCCTTGTCCTTGGAAAAACCTACAGAGCACTCCTAATTACATATCCAACCTGCTGAGTTGTTTGTAAATAACAGGAGAGGTCTGTGGCGCCAGGTGTCCCTGACTCAGCCAGGCTAGTTGAGGACCCTAGCAACCCCCTAGCAACCTCCAATCAGCATGAGACAGGAAAATACCTGGGATGCCAGATGACCCCCCAGTAGTTTATGGTGGTTGATAACAAGTTGGGAAACCATGTAGTTCAGCATGAACACCCCTCGTGGCCTAAACCAATCAGTTCAAAAAAATCCCCTTCTTGTAGTAACCAATCATCCCTACCCAACTTGTTCCCGCCAGTGAATGTGCTAATCAATGTTAAGAGTTGTTGTTTGATTTTCCTGAGGTATGGAATGATTTGCTGTGTGATGCTGTGACGCATACAGTATCCCCCCAAAACCTTTAAAATCTCACTGGACAAAGGACCGGGACTGCGCTGGGAACGGTTGTGAGTCCAGGCTCGAGCTGGCAATAAAGGCTCTAGAGTGACTGCATCGGATTCTCTCCTGGAGGTCTAGGGGGTCCCAGGAACCTGGCATCACACCTGCTCTATGAAGCCAGCAGTGCGTTGCAGCAAACCCCAGTAACTCGTGGCCAGTTTCCTCCCTGGTTCTTGCCTCACAGACTTGAAGAGTAAAACAGACAATCAGGAAAGGGAGGCGCCAACAGAGTAAGAGCAGGATTTAAGTGAGGAGAGAAACCCTGCAATGTGGGCGGGCCCTGGAAGCGGGACACAATTCTGATGTGCTGACTTAACGATTTATATAGGTTTTGGGTTGAGCACTGATCAAAAGCTGTGTTAAAAAGGATTGAAAAAGTATCAAGACTATTATGTCCTTTAGCCTGAGTTTCAAGCATTCCTCTAAGTCCTATTTGGGTTCACTTCTACCTTCCACTTCCCTGCTGCTGGGTCAAAGGAGCTGGCTGGAGGAGCTCCCACTGGGGAGCCTCAGGTCTTTTACATTTGAAATAGGCCTGGAGGGTGCCCCCTAAAATTTCTACTCATTAACCTCCAGGTGTGGTTTCTGCATTTGAACAAAACCAGGGGGCAAGGGGTGTCACTTCTGATTGCTGACCATTGACTATTGTTATTAACTACCAGCACCCTAGAACTGATGGGCTGTGTGTCCCTGAACAACAATAACAAAAAAAAATTTAAGATGGCCCTCAAGGTCTTGCTTCTTTCAATCCTCTTCTGAGTTTTTTCATCAAATATCTCCATTTTCCAGGTGTATAAACTGACTGGCTAAAGGGCCACTGGAATAAAACCACCTCCTGGGGAGATGACCTAGTGCCTCAAAGACAGATCCCCTTTCTTCCCTTGCCCTCCTGCCCCCAGTGGGGTTGGCCCAACCAGGAAGTATTGGGCACCTCAGAGTGGTCCTCAGTCTGCCCTGGGGGTGGGGCTTGAACGTGTTGCCAAGACTATCCTTGCCCTACGCTCAGGACAGGCCCTGAGCGGATGCCACCACTGCACTTGTCCCTGCAGTACCTCACCAGCGTCTAACTGGTGAGTTGCACACTGTGTTCCTGCCTGTCTGCAGATGGGGGTCAGGGTCCAGGACTGAGTAGGGAGCACACAGATCTGTCCTTTTGGCCAAGGCTGAGAAGCACGCCCCCGAGATTTAATCTGCCTGTGCAGTCTGTGTGCAGTGTAGCCACCTCCAATCTGTTACCTCCAAATCTGGAGTCTCGTGGTTGGGTCTCTGTGTAGGTGAACATGTCATGTCTGCATGAGGCCTTGGAATTACATGGGGGAGAAGCCACTCTCGAGAGAGAGACTTAGAAGATTTAGATAGGCTGCCTGCAAGTCCCACTGGAGGACGCTGGCCCTGGGCAGCACCCTGTAGAGACTGGAAAAACCATGGCTGCCCAGGAAGGCTCCTTTAGCTGGCAGGAACATGCTGCAATGTAAACTTGCAGAAAAGTAAATGAAAGAATGAATAAGTAGATGACACCAGTGTGAAGTCCCCAGGAGTGGGTAGGTGACGTGGCAACTGTCAGTGCTCACTAGCATCAGGGTTAACTGTCATTCTACCAAGGACCTCTCAAGCTTTCCCCCTGCATTAGTCAGTTCATACATCTATTTACAAGGAAGGGCTTGAATCTACTGGCCTAGCTACCTATCTAGATCTGCTTGCCTATCTGTCTATCTGAAAGCCGTGTGTTGTCCACAGGCAGAGGCAGAGAGAAAAATCCAGTTATTTCATACATTTCAATAGAGGTTTCACCAGGATGACTTGTCCCCAGCATTACTGGTGCAGCTGGTGAACTTTTGTTTTCCTTGAAACACGATGCTTTCTCTTAACCAAACAGCCAAGAGAGCAGTCAAAGCAGGGCTGTGGTGGAGGTGGCTCTGGGCAGTGGGCTCTGACCCATTGTGCCTATTTCTAAGACACCCTTTCTGTTCCCAATGCAGGCTGTGGCCTGAGGGCCACTATCCAAAAAGGAAGAGGGAATACTGCCTATCCAAAAGGAGTCCTTCTTAGCCCAAAGAACCCTTGGGCTGCCTCTGGCAGGTATGGCTCTGTCCTGCCCTTGCAGTTGTGTCCTGGTGTTGTTTGTGAGGCACTGAAACACCACCATGGTCAGAGCCGACAACCAGACTCTGAGCCACCCTTCTCACCTTCCTCACGTCCTGCTTCCTCTGCCCTTGCTCTGCATCAGCCACCCTACCCCAGCTACCTGCCTCCTCCAACAGACCTAATTAGCAGCTGGGTTCGGTGGCTATTTCCTCTGTTTTGGCCAAAACCATCATTGTGGTCATGGTCTTCCAGGCTACGAGGCCAGCAAGCAAGATCCGAAGGTGGGAAGCCCCAGGATAGCTCCCTGTGCTGTCCTCCTTTGCCTTCACACAGGCAATCTTCTGGGGGCGGGGGGCGGGGATCTGTCTGAGGATTTCTCCTCCCTTCCCTGACAGGACCCACACCACAGTCCCCACCTGGCTACATCGTAGTCTAGTGCAGCCAGAGCTTTGTCAGCCTTCCATTGTGTCCTGGGCTATTTGGCCCGCTGGTTCTGGGGACCTGAACTGGAGCTTTCTTGGCCAGGAACCTGCCTGGCATGTTCAACAAGGCCAGCCCCCCGCCTTCAGCATGCTGGTGTCTACAGCCTCTGGGTGGCCTTCCTGTCAGGTTACCACGGCACCCAGGACAGGGCCATGGGGACCCTGAAAGTCTTCTCTATTGTGGCCTTCTGCACTGGGCTACTGGGCTGCATCTTGGTCCTCAAGTGATACTTTTTCATCCAGAAGGGAACACCCTATAGTCTTTAGGGACGACATCAGAGAAGCCTGAGATGTAGAGATAAAGTGAAACAGATGGAGGAGGGACTAATGCCTATCAGTGATAGAGAACGTGTAAACTAATTATAGAAATTACTCATTATTGATTAGTAAACAAAAAACAAATGACCTATGTGAAGAAAATGGTCATGAGATACAGGAAGGCAATTCACAGGCAAAACATGAATACGCAATGAATAACAAAAAGAGACTATACCCAAACAGTAATAAAAATTCAAATTTAAGGAACCATAAAACAGTTTATTCGCAGTACCATGATAAAACTTTAAAATCTGTAATCACTAAATATTAACCAGGACACGGAGCAACACACAAACACACGCACACAGACGTGAGAAGATCTGGATAAACTTGGCACCTGTTAAGAAAATGATTTTCAGGAAATTTGTTGAGTCAAACTGGAGAGCATAAATGGGCACATGCACTGTTCCATCCTTTTAAGAAACACAGAAAAATCACTAAAAACAAATGAAGATGGTTACATGAACAATGGATCCATGGAAATGGGGTAGGAATGAACCTCCGCTTGCCCACCTTTTTAAATAAATTTGACTTTTGAATCATGCAGTTATTGTGTATATTCAAAATAAAAATGAAGGGGCTGTGGGATAAAGTGGATATAGCTCAGTGACAGGTACGTGCTTTGCACGTGCAAGGCCTTGGCTTAGACCCCCAGCCCTGCAAAAAACGGCAAATGAAAAATAAAAACAAAGGGAGCAAGGCACAATCCATAAAATTCAAAAACAGCAGAAACACAAATCTACGCTTATAAGAAACTGACCACACCAAGAGCAGGACCTTCCTTCTGCAGTCAGCGCACCGACCTCACCCTTAGACAGTCCCACAGGACTGACCAGACAGGCAGCAGGCAGGTATGGGCACAGCAGCCCTGGGCGGCTGCATGGCAGGTGGGCTCAGGGGCTGGACCGGGAGGATGCAGGGTGCTGTGAACTCTGCTCCCGAGGCCCAGGAGCCAAGATTGCGGCCACCACTCCCCACCAAGGAGAGCAGTGCAAACCGGGTGAGAGGACTGATCTTCAGGTGCCAAGGCAGGAGCGGCTGCACATGCGACAGCGAGGTAAAGCGCTCCCCTGACCAGGTGTGACCGGCGGTCTACCCGCCAGCCTGGAAGCACCCCTCTATCCAGATGCAAGGCAGCCCATCGGGGCATAAAGAACCCCTCTGGATGGACTTTAACATGTTTTAACACATAAGCAGCCATGAGTACATAGAGATACAAAGCAGGATATGCCCTGCATGGAGCAGAGGCTCTTTACAGGCGCCAACCAGTACTTGGGAGGGCGTGACACGTTGGAATACCTCCTTGTTGCAAACCCCGATGCGAGGCATTCAGAGCTACTTAGAGTTATTGAGAAGTAGTATATCTGTTTTCAACTTTTCTGTCTGCAGGCCTTGGGGTGGGGTCTCCGTGTGGGTGAAGAGTCCAGCCCTGGAGCAGAAGCAAGGACTCAGCCTAAAGCAAGCATTGGGACAGTATCCCTGGAGTGGACGCAGCTGAGCCACAGATGGCCCCCTTGGGAGGAGGGCTAGGTCAGATGACCGACACCTGTACTTAAGAACTTAGAAAAGTTACAAACACACCGTACAAATAGATCTTATACATAGAAAAAAAACTAAAAAATAGATTTTAAAGGGTGAAATAATTGAATAAATGTCCTGATTTTTTCTTTACGTACCCTCATGAGAGTCTCATGGCTATGCCTAACTTCTAGCAGATGTATAGTATGACACCATGTATTTAAAATTTAACTATGTGCAAAACAAGACACACGTATCTGTGATAAAAATATAAGCTCTGGCACAGAAATAGTAAACACCAATTTAGTACAGTGTTTGCCAGTAGAAAAGGAAGCCAAGGAGCACCGGTCAGGGTGATGTGAGATTGCCCAC